CAAAAACATAATGATTTTTATTTTCCAGGTGATTATACACTAATGAAAACATACTTATGAATATTATATTCCATTTCTAACAATAGATCCTCCTCAGTGTTACACACTGGACCTTTAAAGCTGTAGTCTGAATGAAAACAACAAGTCAGAGCCAGAAAGATAGTTGATCGTTAAGTCTCATTCCCAGGTCGTCAAATATTGATGCTGGGAAGACTCAACAATCAACTGTCCTAAAGAGACCAACCCAAAGCGTCTTTCTGTCTCTGATTGTTCTTTTTTGTTCAGGCCTGGTGGATTCTTGCAAATGCCATTAGGAGCACTAGGAGCAGCTTTAAGTTGCTCTCAATGTACTTAGACACAGAAAACACAGGAAGTGTATACAAGTAACTATTTTTCCTGTCCATCTCTGTCTTTCACTCTCTGTCTCTACAGGCTGCCAATCTCTCACACTTGTTTTAATCAGATCTGTCTGCCTCCGTACCGAACCAGGAAGGAGCTTAAACACAAACTCACCATTGCCATCTCCAACGCTGAGGGCTTTGGCCTGGAGTGACCAGCCTGCACAGACTATTAGCGGCGCTAGCTATCTGTCCACCTCAACTACCACAGTGCACCTTACTTATCTCTTTGGTCATGGATCAGACTGTAGAGTGAACAGGTTTCTCAGCAAGCGAGTTCTAATGTCAAACAATATTATCATGGACTGTAATGCAGTTGGTATTGCTAGACTTGGGTCGTCCTCATCCGTTTGCCAATGTTGAATAAGATGGGAACTTCCCCCTGCAACAGCTATACAGAAACACTAGAAATCATTTTATTTGCACATGACCTGTTATTATAAGACGTCCCTGATTGAAGGAAATGAAATGAAGAAATTCAGGATTTTTATGTCAGTAGATGTCACAAAATTGAAATTTGAAAACATCAGTGTGAGTCTTCCACAGACTTTACTGGTCAAACCATTACAGTTTCATAAATTAAATGTTAAATATTTCTGGTCCCTTATCATTGAAAACATATCAATAATATGTGTTCTCTAGAAAAAAACTTCTCATAAATTGTAATTATAGCTCACTCATTTGCTCAGGTAATTATAATGACCAATGTTACAATTTTTTAAGCAGATTACCAGGTATTTACTTCTGTGATGCTCTACTTTATGGTCCAGAGTAAACCACCATTAGTCTAAATCTGCATTAAGCCAGTTAAATCTGTAAACACAATTGTTTCTCTCAGTTTCAGCTCTCCATCCAGACTAAAACACAATTTTTGTATAATGTATAAATCTTAAAACGCCAGCTTGGTGTGTCAATGCATACAGGGTAAACAAGGCGTTTAACACTGTAATGCAATTTTAGTTATTTTAACAAAAACACATTTTGAAACTAATTACTTATAACATTTTAAGTAGTTTTCTTAAGAAGAAATGTTCAAATTCTCTAATTTAAGATTCTCAAATGTGAATATTTTCTGGTTTCTTTAATCCTCTATGTCATTGAACTGAATGTCTTCGGGTTGTGGACAAAACAAGTCAATTGAGAACATCACCTTGGGCTTACGGAAACAGTGATGAACATTTTTCATCATTTTCTGACATTTTATGGAGCAAACAATGAATCAATTAATTGAGAAAATGATTGATTAATCCATAATCGCAATAATCGTTAGTTGCGCTGCTGGTTAAAATGTAGTGTTTATGGGCTGCAATAAAATCACTATTTCCTACTCTTTATGTTGTCTGACAAATGTAACAGTAAATTATATCAGGACAACTACATTGTGAATTCAGAAATCATTCAATAAGCTAGCCTATAATTCATCCTTAAGTATTCAATATGTGAAATTTAAGGTAAAGAATATAGGGATTTTTTTTATGACACAGCAGTAAGATACAGCACTTACAAATTGAAGGTAAAAGGCAGTAAAAAGTATATAAGTTAGAATATAAGATTTCTGGAGGACACTCAAGTTTCGAGATGTATGATTTTTTTATATTTACTGTTTTGTGTCGATTCTGACGTCACCGCTTTGGCGGCTTTTGAAATATATTTTTATGAAGGCCTAGGGTTTTAATCATTTTGCTTTGTTTGCAGCACACTGTCAGGATATAAAGCTTTGCTGGGAGAAGAATGCTATTGTGTATCATGAGATATAGATTGTCTTGTGAAGTTTTGTTCTTGTTTATTGACATTGCCGCCTGTTTTACTGAACCAAAGGCTGCAGCACAACTGTTTTCATTTTGTTTTAAATGTTGAACTAGAGCTGTTGATCTACAGTTTGACACTTCTCCTATGTGGTTTATGTTGTATGATGGCTGCCATCGGGCTAAGAGATAACCTGCAGCTATAGAAGCTGACTGTTCGTAGAGTACAGAAGATGAAGCAGGATGAAAAAAAGAAAAAATTTCTGAAAGTCCTGTTCTGTTAGTAACATGTAGTTAAATAGACTGATTATTTTAGAGAGATGTTCAGTGATTGTTGCTAAGTAATTAAAAGGAAGGGTTTCAGAAGTATATTTAGTGATTTAAGCACCACAACCTTTTTGCCTTTCATGCCGTTGCTGCCTCCTGTCTGGAGCTGAGCAGTGCTGGTTTTAAACACTCAGCACTCTCTTATATCAGGTCGCCATGGCAAGATATCTAAAGTCCAAAAAACCCAGAAGTTACCAAGCAACAGCCAAGCAGCTTGTATGGTTGCACCGTCCAAACTCATCAGTCTGATCTGGGTCACTCATTCACCCAGTCTCGCTGAGTGTCTATAGGGTCTGAAAAAGCCCCTTATACAACAATGGATCCTTTCTATCATTTAATGACAAGTCCAGAGAAACAGCAGGAGCCAGAAGCAGCTCTGCTCCAGTCTGCTTGAGAAGGACGTTGTGCCACATTCACATCACGTAGGACATTTTAAAAATACCAGCTGCTGACTGGAAAAAATGTCAGCGTCCTTGCGCTGAATGCAAGGCTGGGATATGGGAAATGTTGTAGAAGGAACTACAACTGCTTGGGCAAAATAGGATAATGTGATGTCAGAGAAGTAGTTTTTTTGATATGTTAATCTAACCCAGGTCTGTTGTATGTGAATGGGACCAAACTGTGTCAGGTTATACAGTGGGATGGCAGCGTAAAGACCTTGTCAAAAATCTGTTTGAAAATATTTCAAATGGATTTGAAGGACTTGTTGAGATGTAATTATTTTCACAGTAGAGAAAAGTCATGTATTTCTCATGTTTTTTTTTTATTATTTAACAGCTGTAAACCTTCAGTTTTATCAGTATCAGTCAATGTTGTGTTAACTTTGCTCTGTTGGGTTTTAACCTGAGTTGCAACAGTTGGTGAACTCATGTTAAAGGACCGGTTTTTGAAATGATGCTTCTCTGTTGCCTAAGTCTTACATAATATACTGTATGTACTGCAGTGTTTCCACACGTATTTACTGTACAGTAAAGGCTGACGAGGGGTCCCCTCTCTCTAGAAAAAGATTTCCTGGCTGTGCAAGTTTTTTTTTTAAAGGTACACTTTGCTTCACATTCATGCACATCCTGACATTGACACTGCACAGAACAGTCCTCTGCTGCTATATAGTTTCTATAATCATCACCTTGATCTCTTCTTATCCACTGTGTGCATGCATTTATGGACACCTTTGATGATTTTTTGTCAAAATGAAATATATTCATTAAAATAAAAATGTTTATTGCATGTTATGGGTAGGTCAAATCAGTATGAAACAACAAGAACAAAATAAACAAAAAAAGAATAATCTTGCAACAAAATTTAAAGAGAAAACAAGGTAAACCTTAACTGATCCTCAGAGGGGAAGCTCAATAATTACAGACAACATAGCAAAAGTAAAAAATAAATAAACTAAAAGTATATAAAATAAGAATAGAAATAAAAATAGGAACTATACAAGAGTATGATAACATTGATACAGTAGCAGAATACAGCACAACAATACAGAAATCATCATCATACAGGCTTTCACAGTTTGATATAAATATTGGGGGTCCAGTTCTGTTCAGAAGGCAATCTTCAGATATAACATTGTCTTAATAAACTTAGACACAGATTCGCCAACAGAAAGACTGGCTCTGCTTTTCCAGGACTTTAAGTAGAACAGCAGCAGAGTGCAGTCTGTAATACAGTGTAGCAGTGAGAGTGATACAGCAGCGAGAGCACAGAAGGGCAGTGACTATTTGCATTGTGGTGTTTGAATGATCCATTGTTCATAGTCCGTCCTCCTGTTGAAGTGAGTTCCAGTCATGGGTTGGTCATCTTTGCACCCCACATACACAAACACACACTGATTATGTTACATGCATGAAATATTCTGGATCTTTCCCTTATTCCGAAAAAGACAATATTTCTACTAAGCTGATTACATGGCTAATGAAAGTGCACAGAGCTGACCATAAACAGGCAGGCCATGTGTCACAGACTACAATAAAAACCCCAGATGAGACACATATTCCGAATGTGCTGTATTTAAGAATGTTCCTAAAACCTGAATAATATTGGCATATCCCACATTAATCAGAAAATGCTCCACTCAGAATGAGGCCTAATTAGGGATAGCCAAACAGAATATGCTGTTTACTTGAGTCCAAGTGTAAACCTATTTGATGTCAGCCATTGGTTTGCAGAGTACTGTTTTGAAGCCTTGAGTTTGGCGTTAAGATTGTTGCCATGTTTGATTTTTGCAGGGCTAAAGCATACCCTGCTTTATAATCTATTTAACTATAATTGGACCTTAATTTATTAAATGAACCTCATGCTGTACGGAAGGAGACTTGAAATTAGAGATCGATAAACTCAATAGCAAACTGTTTACTGAGCTAATAAATCAAGTGAGAATTAGGGTAATTTCTGCATAAGACTCAATACTATTAGACTTCTTTTTTTTGCACCCAATGGAGCTAGCCCCATCAGAAAGAATTGCAGGTTTAAGACACTTACACGTCGACATTGGCTTTCACTTCCTTAGCTCTCTCCATTACATGTACTGTCAATGCCCATTTCAAATGTGGATATCAATTAAATCAATTCATTTTATTTTATAGCGCCAATTATAAACAGAAGTTATCTCAGGACACTTTCAAATAGAGCAGGTCTAGACGCGAACTCCTTTTAACATTTACAGAGACCCAACAGTACCACCATGAGCAAGCACTTGGCGACAAGGGCCATGAAAAACTGCCTTTTAACAGGCAGAAACCTAGGACAGACCCTTTGGCTCTAGGTGGGTGGTCATCTGCCTTGACCAGTTGGGGAAGAAGAGAGAAAGAGAGAGAGAGAGAAACAGAGAGGAACAGATAGATGTACAGCAACAACGGTAGAACAACTACATTAATAGTAATGATCGATGTCGATGACAGCGCAACGATGGGGGACAGTGAGCAGCGACAACAGTAACAACAGTAACTGTAGCAATAATAATACTTAATAATGACTAATAATAATAACAACAATAATATCAGTGATTTTAGCAATGGTAGTCAAGCAGGACATGGCAGGAGGCTCCACCAGGATCCAAGAGAACCTGCAGACGAGAAAGCACAAAACTCGGGGAAGAATGAAGTTAGTAACATGCATTAATGGGACATGAATGAGTGCAGAAAGAGAGAGTAGAAAGGAGCTCAGTGCACCATGGGAATCCCCGATAGTCTAGGCCTATAGCAGCATAACTAAGAGATGGTTCAGGACTCACCTGATCCAGCCTTAACTATAAGCTTTATCAAAGAGGAACGTCTTTAACCTACTCTAATGTGGGAGTTTGTCTTTGCCTA